ACGACTAAGATATCATCTAAGTAAGCTGCGACAGCGTTGACGACAGTGAGCATTGTAGCAATTAGATGTCGTAGGACGGCTAGAGCAGGTTTAACTCCGAAAGGCAAGCGATTGAACTGAAACAATCCACGCTATGTATTAATCGTCAATAATTTCCTTGAGCACTACTCCACAACGAGCTGTAGGTACGCGTTAGCTACATACAGTTTAACAAACAATATACCACCTGAGAGTTGAGCAAAAATATCTCCTGGAATCGACAGTCGACAGTTAAGGCCTTAAAGGTATCATTAAGACCAGTGGAAAAATCCGCACTCACAAGAATGGAACTATGTTTTCGTACTACCACAAACTACGGAAACATAAAGCCTCAAGATTTAATCCATTACATCCATTTTTTAAAGAACAAGTATGGAGTAACCAAAGATGTGTTTAGGGAAGGCGCGTTGAACATTTTCTGTGGCCTTCAGGTTACATGTACGTAAATTTCTGAACGTAACGCTACAGTATCCTAACAAAGTTGTTACACTGATTTTATGTGCAATGGGCCCTGTCTCTTTCAGTGTTAATAACTGACTGATATCTCCCGATATTTGCATTGTCTTAAGAAATATATAAATCGCATATTCTTTGAAATTTAAGGAGCTTGTATACCTTAGTCCTAAATATCTGACAGAAGAGCACACTGGAATGAGAATACCATAAATTAGAAACAATCCTGCTTCAATATGACATCCGTAAGCCATGATATTGCATTTTGAGATGGCGAAGTACATCTGCCACTTTGCAGTCTAGCCCTCTATGACTTGTAGATCACATTTAATATTTACTATCTCATTTTTATATTGAGAGGAACGGAACGAATATACTATCTTCAAATCATCTGTAAAGTGTATGAGCTTCCGAAGCGTAGTTTATGTATAGCAGGAAAAGAAGCGGACCTAAAACGCTGCTTTGAACGCCGCCACTAGTAACTTGTTGGGGCGTAGACATGAACCCATTTATGTTGACTAGCTGGGAGCGTCCAGTCAGATAAGAGTAAAAACAAAGAAAGAGCCGGATTTGATTTGTCAAAACTACTCCGTTTCGATAATAACCTCTTGTGCAGGACTGGCTCGAACTTTTTTTGCATTTCAAGATATAAGACAGTGTATTGAAGACCAGTCAATCGTTCTGATGAGATTATTTAAGAAATCAATTTAGCATGTTATGCACGAACTAGAATTTAAATTGTCATGCTGCGAACGTGAAAGAAGACTGTGCGATAATAGAACAGAAGTGAATTGTTCCTTTATAATCCTCTCCGTTAGTCGCAACAAGATGGGGGTGTGACTACTGGGGCGATAATTACGAATATCTGTTTTAGGCCCAGACTTATATCGCGGTATGACAACAGATCCCTTCCGTCTCTTAGGAGACTAGCCTGACTGTAAGTGCAGGGGAAACTATTCAGTAGTATTACTGGTGTATCATCACCATCACACTTGACTACTGCTGAGGAGATCCTATCGGGACAAGGTTATGAGATGGCCGAAGCAAGTTAAGCAAACGTTTATTGACTCCGATGCTGCAGTCAACAACTGAAATAGTTTCGGGGGTGACAGATGAGACTGAAGGTACCGGAGTCGCATATTTTTGTTGAAGAATTCGAATTATTGATCATGCCTTGCTTGGCGTGTCTCGACCAATTCGAGAATAAACTATTTATTTATTTATTTATTTATAAAGTATGCACTTAAGCCATCTGCCATAAAATTAGGAGTGTCGAGAACACTGCAGTCTGGGGTGATAATATCTGAATGGTAGATCTGTTAGTCGCGCTTTTCTCTTCTTCCATAAGTTACTTAGATCACCAGTTTTGTTTTTGCTATATAAAATGCGTTGCACCTTTTGTCTAGGATGCGTAACATTCCTGACGTCCGTTTCAATTACAAGTCTTTGCAGACACAGCAACAAGCTGAAAGCACAAGCTTTCTCATACCTTCGAGCTAGTGTTCGCATTTAGATTCTCTGTTTTTCAGCAATAGTCGAGCTAGTCGATGGGCAAGCAAAAGGTTTCGTTTTGCTTGTAGTCAATAGTTGCAAGCAATGTTGTAGGTTGTGGTGAAAAGGAGCAGATATATCCTAGAGGTCATGTTAGAGAAAGCAAATGTCCCAATTTTGCGACCCGAGTGTAATGGAAAATGAGTACCAGTTTACACTTTGAGGGAGGAAAGAAGGTATTTTTGAATGGACAAGTGGGGGGTCGAACACTATTTTGCAAGCAACTAATTTGTGGTCGCATCCTGGCCTCAGTGAAAATGGAAATAAATCCTAAGTAAAATCTTGGTACAGCACACTTGTACCCCTTGTATGTGAAAGAACATGCTGAATCCATCCCTTAGTCATAAGAAAAGTTAAAGTGTGCGTGATTTCCGGTTGAACTTACTCTAGACCAGCATATGTAGGCAGGTTAAAGTATCAGCAAACTATCTTATTTTACAGAGTAATCCTCGAAACGTAGCCGAAAAAATTTACTAACTGGATCTATTCATACATGCTGGCACCACGTGGGCGATATACGCAACCGAAAGATAAAATTAGTCAAACGGAATCAAGGGAGGCACAGATAAGCGGAAGTGTGTACCCAGAAACAAACAGGTTTTGTGAGTAGTAAATAATGCAATCTCCACCTCTACCGGTCCTACGATCACTTCTGATCAGTTTATCTCCGTCGGTTGACGTCAGTCGACACATTTGTGCTGCACCAAGGTTAAGTAAGCCAGACAATATTAGGTTTATTAAAATACATGAATGTACGGAGTAAGTGTAGCTTATTTAACAGTGAACTTTTATTAAGTAACACAATTCGGTAAGCATCCTGACTCAGGTTTGAGCCATAATACTCATTAGCATTTGAGCCTATATTAGATGCTGCGCGATCCGTAATAACTCCTTCACAGTGAGAGTTCCAGCATCCTTTGTTAATAAAATGGGAAGTGTAATGGTTGGAGCAGTTCCAAAATTGGAGTAGGTTGGGAGAGTTTAAGATATGTGAGTGACGTATTATTGCGGAGTTAATCAAAGGAGGTGGTAAAAGAGGTGGGGGCCAGTAGATTGGAGGGCAAGAAAGAGTACTATTAATTTTCCTAGCGAATGTTACGACCAATTAGTCCGCAAGCGTATTTTGAGACTTCACGAGTTCGTCTTACAGATAATATGGGTGTTATCATTTTTAGCCATGGTAGGACTTTTTATTTCACTCCGACCTTATTAAGGCCCTTTCTAGGAATAAAAAGCTTTGGAGGATGACTGTTGTTATCACTAGTGGATGGTATGTCTTTATATACTTTGCGTCCTGATATGGGTGTACCTATGAATGCGTTAGTCGCCCTGACGTCTATTTCCTGTGAAGCAATCGAGGATAATTTTATCACCGATTTGGGACAATCAGGCGTTTTTAGATAAATATTTGAATGCTTTCTGGGTGGACGAGTTTCAGATCGTAACTTTACAGACGTGGCTTTCATTGTATCTGAGCGTGAGACTGCATCCTGTGTACCGATAATGCCTTCACTAATGTCCTCCATGGCATTTGGAGAGTCAATGGTGGCTACCGAATGATCTAAATCGACGGTTTTGCCTAACGGGCCAGTGCAATCTACACCATCGATTTCATTGAGGAATAAGTAGCGTTGTTTTTCGTGCCGTTTCTTTACGTTTTTAGTAGATCTAGCATGACAAAATTTACAATGGAGAGGGATTGGATGAATTCTCTAACAGATCCCCATCAGGTTAGACGGTAAAGACATTTGTGGCGGTTATCGGAACACAGTTCACTTGGGCCAGCTTCACGGAGTTTTATAAACTGTGCGTTGTCGAATATATATGCTCACAACTGTTTCGCGTGCTAGCAGCTTGTCAGACTGAGATTTATGAATATGACTACGCTGTTCTCAATTTAAAATGGAGGAGAGTATAGGGGGTGTAACTGCTAAATCAGTTTTTCATTGCCGGTGCACACCTAACCAGAAGGTACCGAATGAAGTCATTTCATAGGACACTTGAACGAATAGACGGCCTCGTATGCCTTTTGATTCGCTGAAGTTAGTCCCTGGAAACACCCTATCAAATCAAAAACGAAAAGTAATATTCAGCCGGTGACAGGGAACATGGGTGCGTTCATCCAGGCCCTTAGAGTCAGTGTTAGCCCCTGACTAGCGGATAAGTCGTGCATCACAGATTACAGGTATGATCGAATGCAGGTGTGAAATGCTGCATAGGAAGTGTTTGCAGGATCCTAAACCTGGGTTTACCACCTAAACTAGCTGCACAGGAAATTATGTCAACCCAAAGAGATAAAGATGGATGAACTACCTTTTGACCAATTTCAGGAGAACCTTAGCTTATCAAGAAGTCCTATGGGCAGTTACAATCAACAAGTGAATGAAATCGACCGACAAAAACTTGATATCACACCTAAAGCATTCCGACCAAGAAGAAGGGTCGACGTGAAACCCAATCTTCAAGGTTTTGGGTCAATCCACGCTCTGGTCCTATCATATCACAGCCAAATTAGAAGAGGATGGGCTTGAGCGAACTACACTTTAGCTGTTAAAAAACTGAAGGGAAACATACAACAGAAAATACATTTATTTAGAAACACTGCAACCTAAACTTAATTTAAATGAGACACATCGGTCATCCGTCAGTTTGAAGGTGGACAAAAATATCTGATGCTGCGATTTAATGCATCTCAATATTTATCGGCATTTGAAGGTAATTACTCGTGTATTTAGGTGGATATCTCAATTTCTACTATTATTCAGCCTATACTTGCGAAATAGGGGGTAGCAAATCCATTTGCACGCATTTGGACACTTACCTTTTTCTAGACTGCAAAATATACGCAGTATATGTATGCCTATATGTATTGATAAAATAAACACTTATTTTTAAACGATTGTTTGGCAATATTTGCCTCATACTTTTATGCCTATACCATTTTTCAAACCTGACAGAAAGTTCTACTTGACCTGTTCGGGAATTGGTGTTCTTACGCCCATCAAGCTGTCAGCAAACGACTTACAGTTTCCCCCTACACCGTTATGGGAAACAAGCACAGTGCAGTTTACGATCAGAAATATTCATACATCGGCTGACCCCTATACGCACAAACAACCGCGTATTGGTTCCACTGGTCCAGTATTTCCAGTTGGTCCCATTGCGTTTGAACTGCGACCGATCATGTCATATTTCTCCGACCCGGAATCATTCTGGTTCTTTTCCCTTTGCAACGATGCAACAAAGTGTATTGAGGAAGATTTTCTGACTATTCACCCACAAACTGGAACCCTTCTACCAGGCCAGGTGAGCTTAGCTGCGTTAGCCACCTCGAACTCTCGATGAAACATAATTTTGCCGTGAATTCCCACACACATATCATGAGTACTTTTGTATGGAATGCGAGTAACTTTGTTCACCAACATACCAAATGATCGTTCCAAAAAAGGAGAAGTATTCAGCCGCTCGGGAAATATACACATCTGTTACTTATGCCCTACGTACACGACCAAATAAGTTTCATCCAAAAATTCTTGCTTATATTGTTAATATTTTATTACATCTCCTAACCTAGTGGAAGAGTTTAATCGCTGATCGTCGGTTTTGCAAATTAGTGCACGTGTACATTTGTACGCGAAATATGAAAACCTATTTTCTTCGCGTGTACATGTGTACACCTTGCATGCGAAGGGGGAATATATGGAAAGTAGTGAGGAATCGTTGAATTTAAGTCATTGCCTACCGGTACTGGATCCGCTCGCTTATGACACTCCACACTTTGGCTCGTTTCAAGTTACCAGAGAGAGCACACATACTACTTATTGAGCACCCATGCTGCTTGAGACCTGTCATTCGGAGGCCGATGAGTTATTTAAAGATGGCATTCCTTACCTATTTATACTACGTGAATTGGAAACAAGTATATCTGGCCTATTCGCAGGTGAACACAGAACAATGACTTTATACGTCTTAAGAAGCACTGCTTCAGAAGTTCCGTGGGCTGCTGGGGCTATCGAAAATGTTTAAACAAGCAGGTAGTACATTAAATATCATAATAAAGATTGATGGTTTATTCCGCTGTAGTCCTTTACCCCGCGTGGTTTTTACTGCACTAGCAGGTGATAGCTGGTAAGTCCAAAATGAGTTCTGCTAGTAGAACGGAGAGATGACGTCAAGTAACAAAATGTAAGTCTGAGTACGTCATCCAACCACCACTTACAGATGGATAGGGATCGTTCAGCAATGAGCAATTTAGGGAGAGAATTCCACGGGTGACACAAAAGAATAGAAAGGGTATTCTTGTGGCACTCCATATGTCTGTAATGTTCTGCAACTTGCAAGGAATGCCCTATCAGATTTGCATTCCTGCTGAATGCAGTAACACAGTTGTAACTGTGGTTGTTGTAATGCAGTCACAACGGCTCACATAATGTGGGTCTTGCAGAATCAAGTTGGTCATTATCAGATCGCCACGTAATCCACACTACCATCCGCTGGATACCCCCAATCATTTCAGCTTCTACACGTATGGGAGATTGCGCATCCCAACGACGTATTGGAAGCGCGAGGTTGAGGCTGCTCCAGTGCATTATGGTAGTGTTATAGCCATAGATGCTAGGTTTGATTTGCGAACCTACGTACAAAACAAATGCGACAAAATAGAGATTTATATTTGTCGAAAGCCCAACTAAACAGACTGACATGTTGGTTACCAGTTTCGGATTGCCTGATGCAGCCCAGGTCATCCTTAACCAGCACGTCCAAATAACGTTCCACGGAAGATCGCAAAAGTATTTACTTTCCGAACCGTTGCACTTGTGTCCTATAGATGGTATCTTGCATTTAATCAGGTCGAATCGCAGTAAATGTTGTATTGACCACTGATGTACCGTGTCTATGTCATTCTGAAGCCAATTCTGATCTGCATAGCATTGAAACTTGCGCCAAATCTTGATGTCATCGGCAAACAATGGAGAATGTCAGGCGATTGCTTCTGTGAGGTTATTAATAAATACCAAAACTGAACGATGCGTGCCACCAAACTCGAAGTGTGTAGAATCGGATAACTAGCTCCAAACTTTGTCTACTCTTTGCCAGTGAAGGAGGAAGTTGGTGATCCAGCTTACGAGAATGTCAGCGATCCTTTAAAACTGGAGCTCGGAAAGCAGTGTCCGATGATCAAAGCCACCGAATGTCTTCAAAATATCCAGGCAGCTCACTTCAACGTCTTCGATGTCAGCTGACTTGGTCCAACTACTCGTTGTGATTAGTGAATTCGTCGTGCACTATCGGTGTCGACGGAAGCCGTGCTGTTCGGGAGTAATGATGTTACATTTTTCCAGATGGCACACTCGCGTATAGGCAATGATGAATTCCAAGACTTTGGGGAGTACGGGAAGTAGCGACACGGCGATAGTTTGAAGGCTCGGTCCTGCTTCCACCTATGTGAATCTGAGGTATTATTTCAAGCTTTCATATGCCATAAACCTTGTTCTAGTCTATGCAGCGCAGGAAGACTTAAGCCGAAATTTCCGATCGTTTTCCAACTGTTGCTCCAAGTGCCTCTGGACGAATAGTAAGGACACACTGGAAATTGTGTTTGCACGGAGACGTCAGCTTTGGAAGAGGGTTTCAACCGCAAAAGCTATGCAGGCAAATACTGGCGGCGGGGCAATAAAATCTGGAAAATCACCTGATGGCAAGACTCTTTGAAATGGGGCATATGCCGCTTCTGTATCCATTCTTGTTGAGCCATCAGCCTTCCTGAGTAGAGTAAATGCCTTCCCAAGATCGCGAACGCAATTGAAATGCTTGTACAGCATTTTATGGTTTACACCAAAGGTTTTTGCAACGTTCTGCTGATGTACGGCTTTATCTTCTCTGAGTAGTTGGGTGCAGTGGTTACGTTGGGCTACGCAATTGTCCCAAGTTTCTGGCATCAAAGCTAATCTATGCACTTGTCATGCTACATTACATACAGTTAACTATTTTCGAGTCCCTTGTTTTACGAAAGAAAATGTTTAAGACTCATTCCAACTATTTATCTCTGAAGCTCCTGCAAACACACGGTTGAATTTTTTGACAATCTCGAGCCAGGCGACTTCTGGAGGCTTTTCGGCAAGGAACGACCAGGCTGTTACGCCGACTATCTGGGCTAATCAATTGTAGTGTGTGTTGGTGTCATAGCTTGTGATGCTCAGCAAGGCACACTAATGCGATACAAATCTGATAAAATTAGGCAACCGAGCACGTGCAATCTTACCAGAGTGAATATAGAAAAAGATGTGAACTTATATACCCTATTCTCTTTCAAATAACACCGAAATTTAGGGGACAATGCAAGCCATATACAGTGTTCTTCGCGCATAAAAAAGTGAAATCCCGTTCTAAGATCTCGCTTAAAGTTACCGACACTTGCGAATTGTTATACACTTTGGAACACTACACTAATCCTTCCACATCCACGTGCACAAATCTATGTGACAGAAGGATTACCTTAGCTTTTATGTATACGGTATTTTATTTTTAATCCCCCTAGTGTTTGACATGATGTCAAAGAGTAAGCAATCCCAGCTTAAAGATGTTGGTGTGGTCACTCAACCCTGAATAGCCTCTACAAAATGGTCCCATAATTTTGCATCCGTTTCACACCTTCAAAGTGCGAAGTGCTGCTGCAGGATCACCAAACATTTAATGACCTATTGACCCTTGCTAACGAGGAGCACAAGGTAGCTGACCAATTCGCTTGGCATGAAAAATGAACTCAGTTCATGCAGTGCCTCCTTGAATCTGCAACATCTGTGGCGTCAGGAAAGGTTTTCCCACGGTCGGAAACGACATGTTTACCAGGTCGAGGTGAGGGCCGTACTACTCTATGGGAGTGAAACTTGGACCTATCGGTATGAAGACGTGTAACACCTTCACTACACACAAACTATACACGTTAGCTAGGGGTGGGAAACTCTTCAGCTAGTGTGACGCAATAACTAAAAGAAAAAGCGGAACAAAATGCAACAGCTGCAAACCAGCTGAGCTAGCGGTAACGGATGGGCATCGTTCCGGTAAGCTACCTGCCGGCTACTATGTAGCCGAAAAAATAATTTACTACTCGTAATTATAAAATGCCAAATGCTGATGAGTGGTTGTAGGGTGCGCTAAGAGCTAAGGAGTGGGACAAAGAAACTCACAGCACGAACGTTACTGAGGTCGGCTGCTAGTCATATCAACAAGCGTAACACCTTCAAGCCTTTGGTCATCAACTTTTGAGAAGCATTGCTAGTGTCGGATATCACCAGCATGTGCGCGACGGCAATCTGCGTGGACGAGTGTTAGGAGGTGAATTTCAAGCCAGTTCCGTAGAATTACAGGTAGATCTGATTACGTTGCGTTGGCTTGGACAAGTACCGCTTACCGAGGAGGGCCCTTTTTGTTTGCCAGATGTAGGGTGGATCATGGCCTCAGAAGGGAAAAAGTTAACTTGGCAGCTGAAAGTGAATTCACCGGCTATCAAACCAAGTGCCGTTTGTCCGTTTCGAACTCCAGGCTGGAGCCCACATAGCTCGCATTGTGTAAAGCATGAGATGTTACAGGAAATGGCTCGTAGTCGGCAACAGTGATGAAATGCTTTAGATCCTTAATCGGGCTGCCTGCTTGAAGTGTTTCATGCTGTTATCAGCCTACTATGACTATGATGATGACGATGTTGATGATGATTATGATGATGGTGGTGATGATGATGATGAGGCAACGATGCTGCGGCGGCACAATCAACCCTGAATTAACTGTCTAGAGTGGTCCCATTATTTGGTATGCACTTCGCACCTTCAAAGTGCAAACTGTTGATGCAGGACTACCAGCCCCTTGAACCTTGCTAACGAGTAAGTCGAGGTGGTTGATCAATTCACTTATCTGGACAGCTGCATCAGCCACAGTGGACGCTTGGAAACGGAAGTCATTTCATGCATTGCAACGGCCAGCGCTGTCTTCTTGAACCCGCGGCATCTTTGGCGACAGAAGGGAAGTTCCCTGCGTCTGAAATGTCTTGTATACAAGACCGCAGTGAGGGCTGTTTTGCTCTATAAATAAATAAATAAAATGTTTATTCTCGACCAAGCGAGGCACGCCTGCACAGGCATGATCATGTTAAGGGTAGTGAGACTTGACTGCTACGGTCTGAAGATCTGAGGCGCCTTCAAGTCTTCGATCATCGTTGTCTGCGAAGCATTGTTGGTGTCGGATGGCACCAGCGTGTCCGTAACGATGATGTGCGTAGGCGAGTACTAGGTAGTGATAATCATGCTAGCTCTCTAAAACAACCGATAGCACTGAATAAGTTGCGTTGGTTATGGCACATGTTACCTACGCCTGGTCACCGCTTACCTAGGAGGGCCATGTTCAGTCTACCAGGTGTTGGGTGGCGCAAGGCTCGAGGTGGACAGAAGTTGACTTGGAAACAAGGAATGAAGTCACTGACGATCAAACTGGGTGCCGTTGGTCCGTCTCTTCTTCCGGGCTGGAGTCCTCGGGACTCGCCTTGTGCTTGGCATGAGACTTTACAGGACATGGCTCGCAACCGACACCAGTGGCGCGACTGCTGCTGTCGCCTAGTCGGGTTGCCTGTTTAACGTGTGTTTAGTGCTGAGTTATCTGCGGGGTAATGGCTGACTATGACGCGTGGCAGTGAGCGCCACAAGGAAGCTGTATCGCCGATACCGCCTTATCTTTGCACGGTAGCCAGCTGTTTGTGACGGTATGTCGTTAACACACGGTGTAGGCGCCTTGACCGTGAATGTTCGCTTAGTCCATTAACGTTTTCAGGTAAGACCCCTTCTCTCTCTTTTATTCTTATTCTTTATTTCATAGCTCATCATGGTTGTATGGCATGGAAGCATCAGTGCAAATGGCTGATGTACTGCTGTTGATGAGGATGATTATGACTTTATCCACCGTTACATTACAAATGCTGATCTCGCGCGAGATCCCCGATCTATTTTCTTGGAGACTAAATTTTACGCCATCTGAAACTAGTCATGAAACAAAGTTTTAATGAAAGCTTTTCCTACTGAATGGGTGAAAATCTAATGAATGTATTTCCGCATTATACGATGGTTGCTCGATCGACATTGGACAGTGCACCGTTCTGACGTTGCTATCTATTTGTAAACTTTAACATTTTTGATGGCACCCGTTTAGTACATTTACAGGTGATAATGTAAAAGGTTGAAGGTACACCCAATTGGGTACCTACCTCTTCTGCTGACTTGACTTGACATATATCCATAACATAAAGATTGTCTTGGCCGGTAGTGTGACATTTCCTGCTTTGTTTTCAGAGTCAATTGATCCAGGTTGCCTTCAATCCATGTATATCCACAGCCACCATAAAGGAACTGGCTTCGCGTATGCTTAACGAGGAACGTAAAATCTCAAGGGAAGCTGCCTCTTTTACATTGGATCAAAATCCCTCCAGAGTAGCAAAGGTTAGCTCAATATGTTGTCCAGCGAGCAATTTCTTGAACATCTTTTAGCTAAATTCAAGCACTCACGCTGCTACGACGGAACTCATATTCAAACGCTGTGCAATCCTAAATATGGTAACATCGGAGTCAGTTTACGTAGTCTAAATATCGTAAACGTTTTGAAAATAGGAGTAAACATAGTGGGAAACAACCAATTGATATAAAACCGTAAACGCAGATGAGCAACGAGTGACCAGGGTGTTACCGACAAATCGGTCTAGGAACCTGAGCAACTCGTGGCGCAGCCGTATCAAGCTAAAAGTCACAGCCGGAAGAGCTAAGATGCTATTTACAAACGGTTAGATAACAAGTTAATAACAAACTTCAAACCGTTTCCAGACCAAATGTGTACACTAATTCGTCTCTCAACTGCAACGTGCCACAAATAGCAATGGTCAACAGATAAGCACGATTTAGCGAAGCGGTTCCAGTGTCAGCATGGGTTAATCGGTCAATCGATCAGCCAATGAGCAGCGCACATGGAACGCGGGCTTGTTGAGCCAGTCTAGACTACTCATTCAGACAATGGTAGGTGTCCTGGACGAGAGTAAGTGTGAAGGTCTGGATGAGAATTCGGTCAGGCAAACAAAGAAAGTAGGACGGGACCGGTACAGGCTAATGAAGCTGGGTGTGTAACTGGGCCGTATAATACGCACAAGGAGTAAGACAGAAGGCGGGAGTAGCAAGCTTAACCATTGAGCGATGCAAAAATGGTAAACTTTTGTGGTTAATCTAGGTCAAAATGTGAACGAGAAAGAGAGTAACTGAGGTTTTGTCATGAAAAGTCCAATAAGCAATCAAGTCGTTGTGATTGGTCGTTTTGGTGTCAATCAGTACGGGAAATCTCCAGATCGGTTGAACAAGTTAGTTTGTCCGTTACACAGGAAATAGTTGACATGGTCTGAAACGACGTGAACTAGAATTCCACTGCAGTCACTATGTTGAGCAGTACTTCAAGAATGAAAGCAGTATCTGGAAACTGATTAGAACATGTTCACGAAGCGTGCGAGCATTTATACTGAAGAAACAATTGAAGCCCTCTTCAATTGCGGCAGCTTTTCTCACTGTGTTAACTCGCTTCATCTGTGTTTACTAACCAGCACGCTCTGTTCATCTACTGTGCTGTTTATGAACACGTTGAAGTTGGCTAGTGCTAGTGTCGCCCATGCGATTATAGACAACTTAGTCGGAGGGCACTTGATCCGTTTCCTGTTCGCTGATCTAACCTATGCTTTTTCCACTCAGTTGGCTAGCCACCATTGCATCACTGTTGAGTCAGTCCAGGTTTGTTAGTGTGCTTTCCGTTCTTCTTTAGCCATAGTCTTTGCAAGCCCACTCCATCTGCGCTTCATTTGCGCAAGACGGAGCCAAACCTGATTTGTTCCACGAGCCAGTGCTGTCGTGGTCGGCCCGACTTGACAACGCTCGATTGGCCTCCTGTTTGCAAATATAACATATGGCAAGTCCACCCAGAATATCCTTTGGCATAACATATATCAACAAGGTTCAATGCTAGTATACTAGTTAAACGGACGTGTAGAGGATATGAAATAAACCATAATAAAGCTGACTCCCTAACTGCCAAGTCACGGCTCCTGTACTCCGTAAGTTACCGATTCAACAGTGAACGAAGCTGACTTTTACAGTTATTAATCCGTGGCTCTCCACAACAAATTTGACAACTTTGTTCCCCAACACTATCAACCACAACGGTTTGTACTAACAATTGATTAGCTAAATGTAAAATGGTTATTTAAACCCCGGTTAATGAATAGTAAGGGCAGGTACTAGTGGGAAACTATTATAAAGCTTGCATACCTTCTGCCAACTTGTAGGATCACAATTCATACATAAAGATAACATTCTACGGCTATGTGTCAGTGGCTATCAGTTGTAAATAAAGCAGCGTTCGGTAGATATTTTTGTCGCTACTTCCGCAGTTTGGCATTATAGTCAACCTTATATCTAGATAATTCAGCAATCTACGCGCTTAAGCCATGCAGTATAACCTGGAGTTAAGGTCTAGCACACCTTCATTTCGTTTGCAAGTCATGTTCCCAAACTTCAGCACACGTGCTTCAATAAACTCCGCTAGATCAGCCAAAATATATGTGCGTAGGAGTCGGTTGGTAAACAATACATATGCCGCATGCCATTATGTTTGTGTATGGAATGTAACGTTAGCCATAAAAAACGACTGAAAAGGTTGTGTGTCTATATATATATATATATATATATATATATATATATATATATATATATATAAATTCACACTTGACAGTTATGCACCGTACGATACGGTTAGAATTAACGAGAGGATAGAAAAACCACAGCCAAGAAGGAAATGCTTGCAATACGTTCTATGCTGGGTAACACTAAGGGCCATGTCAAGTAGCGATTCCAAGCATTTGTACTGTCCATCCTCTAACCTAGCAGTCGGGAACACCCCAAGAAGCGGGGCAAATAAAGAAAGTGGCCGAAGCATTTTGGTTTCGTCCAACATGTCCACTCATTGCAGTTGTCAACTGTTTATGTGTACCCATGAATAAGTGCGGTAGGTTGACTGAGATAATCGCGCAATTACTGAATATTAAGGTCGCAACTTCAGAGGTGAATATGGTCACACTCTTACCCCAAACCGCCAACTCAAGCTCCGCATTTAGGCCGAAGTAGAGGAATGGACGCTACGGAAGCACTGCAGCGTCAGTTTCTCTAAACCCACTGGCTCACCTCACTCTCATAAGCGGAGAAGCATGCAGCGTGCCTACCTCCACTATTTTCAACGGTGCAGCCCATATTAAGTCATTGGCGACGTTGGCAGCCCCAGGCCCGACTTCATGCACCATAGCGAAAAGCCAGGAAGCGTACACATCAGTTTCCTCCACTCAAAATCCAGAGAGCCCACCCCTGACTCCGGAAACAGCACCGAGAAATATGAAGGTGACACAGCTTCCAAACCAGCCAAACCATTTAAATCGGTATTAATTAGTACCCACAAACCTAAAGTCAACAGAAGTAATCACGGTGTTTCAACTGTTGTGTGCACAAATGTTCCAGCATCGCAGTCTAGTACCATAAAGAGGAAGTTGCTGGAAGACCAAGCTCATTGGAATTCCATTTGTAGTGCGACTGGCATTATTTCACTTGTGCCTACGACACTTAGACGGATCCCACTTCACCCAAATTCACTGCATTACGGTGAACCTTGATTTTTCCAAGCGCCACCGAGTTCTTCTAATGTTATGATTAGGAGACACCTCTGATAAGAATTAGAGCCTTATAGGATTGTCACTGGCACGGTTTGAGCGCGCCTACGATAACGGCTTGGAAAGCTGGTCGATCGAGCGGATCTGCGCTGACGTGGTGGCGTTAGCTTAGCCCGGGGTGCACGCTGGTGAGGCGGAAAACTGCGCTAGCGTGAGAACGTTTCTAGCCACACCTATTCGGGTGGACGGTGAGCCCTCCTGACGGACGAGGCTACGCACACGAGAATGGGTGACGGTAGACGCGCGCTAGTGGCTTAGACACGAAGGCTGCCCGGCTATCGACGCACACAAAAGCACGTGACCGAAGTAACTCCCAACTAGCGGCGAAGTGAAAGTAAGACAAGTGGTCCTCTGCAGGCTCTTTTATGATCAATATTATGGGTCATTAAGTTAGTGAAAATAGCTACTGTGCCGGGATGGTCGTTTGCAAAAGAACATTGTCAACATGTGCGCATTTGTGCTGCGTCTCGGAGTGGTTGAAGTCTGCTTCGTTGGTGGGAGGAATTGGACTCCACTTTCCACAGCCATTACGCCGGAGTTTGTGGCGCGTTTTTGCGAAGATATTTGATGGGCCCGCAACAGCTAATGACACAGAGGCCGTTCTGCTGTCTTCGCTTCGGCTCCTTTACTCATCACGCGAGGTGCACGTACTTCCGGACATCCCTCGGAACAAATGTCCGAAAGAGAATAGCAATCGTGAAGCAAATCGGACGATTGTATTTTTTACGGGGTTCCTGATCTCCAAACATCCTCCTCTAAGAAAGTGAAGCCTCACAACCGGTAGCAATGGAGTTACATCCACCAGCGACCGTCCATCGACAATGCTGTTAAAAAGCGGTTGACGAGAATTTCAGTATCAGCCAACTACAAGGGAAAAAGGTCCACCTCTGATGAAGCTGATGCTGAGGTTTGAGTTAATAACACTGCTTATCTTAGAAAACTGGTCTAAATTCCGCACGAAGTTGCCTACAAAAACTCGGTTAAATGCAGTGGGCACACGGCGACGAGTGGCTGACCACTCTTTGGAGACGGCTCAGTTGGTGAATCTTTCTCCTCATACAACTCTGTGAAAGGATTGGTCTAATGGCAATCTCAGCATCCGATGGCATACGACTACTTACGGAAAACCATCAAGACGCGGACAACCGCGAACAGTTGTATAAGCCAAGCAAACTTCAAGGGCCAAGGAGTCTTAAAATAAATAGCTAGTGGCTAAACCCTCAACGGTCGGCACAATCTGCCGCCTTAGTTCAACATCCGCTAGCTCACTTTTGGTTCCGGGGAGACTATCCTGTTTGTTTATCAATGCACAGAGCCTAAGTATTAAGTCGGTCGAACTTCCGAGCCCAGAGATATCATAACGATCACCGACATGTGGTTGAACTGTGAGATTACCGACGCTGCAATCACTCTACCCGGTACGTCACTTCTCCACAACGAAAGAACGGGTAGGGAAAGAGTGATCTTTGATTACAACATAACTCTTCACTGTGAACTTATAGATGGTCCTCAAACGCGCGTTGATGATTTCCTTTAGTGTAACATATGGTTGAAGTACGCCGGCACGTCTTGTGTTCACAGTTTACCGACCGCCGAAATCGACTCCAGAAATGGACCGCCGACTAATATCGGCCATTCGTGTTGTGATAAATCAGAAATACAGTCATATACTTATTACAGAAGATTTCAACCTCC